AATTCGAACATGCCTTTTGTACCAGGCCCAATAAGGCCCTTAGCAATAGCAGATCGGCGGCACAACGCCTTTTCGCATTATTTGTATTCTCCCAAGTCCCAACTCCCAACACAGATCAATTATGGCAAAGTTGAACAACTGAAAGACTAGCCTACAAAATCAAGCAATCGATCCATATCCCTGCTTTTTCTTCCCCCCATGCGCAGGCTTCTCTGTTTTCCTTGAGAAAGAAAACTTAACCGCCATTCTCGTCCTTCCTTCGCTTCCGCCTCCCTTGCATGCAAGCCTCCCCCTCCGCCTCCGCCAGTCAATCCACCGCTGGTCGGCGGTCGCTCAATACCGGTCTCCACCTCCGAGTCACCATCGTCGCCTGCCACCGCCGCCGCTGATTCGCTCGAGGGGTTGTGGGAAGAAGAGCGGCAGAAAGTTCCCAGGACGAAAGGCAGGAGAAAGTTAGGGAGAGAGCAGCAAGGGTAGGGTTGTCGTCTGTTGACAGAAGAGCAGGCGAAGGAAAATCCTGTGGAAAAAAGGAATTCCAATCGGCGTCTTCCTTCCTTCCCGGACTAACAACGAGTTGCCGCCGACCACGTTTCAACCGCCGCAGGTACATTTTTCTAAATGCTTTTTAACTATTTGGTACGGTGGATTAGAGTATCTGACGTAGTGTGTTGTTATACTTGTAGGTGTAATTTTCTTACAATGGATCGTGTATCTCAATGGTACCCGTAAATATTGTTTACCAACTAATCCTTAGACTGTCTACTCCTGCTTCCTTTTCGTATGGTCAGACATTAGTAACGATTTTATTTGTAGGGATTTTATGGTTGAGCCTGGTTTCGTTGCAAAGCTGCGGTATGAGGAAGCAACTTCTATGTCTGAATTTACGGAATCACTCGGTCTTATATTGTTGCAAGAGAATGGCGACGTTGAGGTTATTGAAATAATTTTTTTTTGTCATTCGTCATTCTCGCTCTCGTTTGCACTTTTTGTGTTTGTTAATGCTTGTTAATTTTTTTTTGAAAATCCATTTGTTGTTTTAAACACCAGGGCACTTCTTACCTCTTCTCTGGACGTGTCACCGAGGTCAGGACATCATGGCGTGCTGCATCTAGAGTTCATTTGATCCACTTAGTTATTGAGGATGACTATTTCGATGTTGAGGTTGTTTTCCCATCGACAAACTTACGCAAAATCCTTTCAGATGTAGTAAGTGATGAAGACATGGTCAATGCCGATTTCGTTACCCTTGTCAACTTGCTTGGTGGAAACTCTTTTGAGTTTATGGTCACATTGGGTCCTTGGAACCATGGGTATTTTGAGCTGTTATTGGTCAAACTATTCTTTCCTCGTGGAAACTGAAGACCATTACAGCAATGTCAATAGAAATCTACTAAATTTGCTTAGTGTCGGCCTTAATGCCATTTCTCTTGTTATCCAAGTGTACTAAGTGTGTGAACACAATGTTATTTTGTACGGGTCCTGCCCTTTTTATTGAATTGTTGCTTCCTTATGGGTTGTTTGTTGCTTCATACTACACTACATGCCACAAACAATCAAAAATTAGTATTCGTGATTCATAAGAAAGAGCGAACTTGAAAATTAATAACAAGAGCGAACTTGAAAATAAAAATACGAAGGTGCTTAAATATAAACTTCTTTTCCAATCAACAATGTATGCCTCTACTTTTGCTGGTCCGGATTATTTTTGTGTTCAGTTCATTATTCTTGTTTTCATTAAGACCTAGCAAACCAAGAAAGGGTATACTTGAAACTTACCGGTGTGCATAAGCGGAGTGGCCCATCTGTCCTCTTCTTGGAAAACCACTGCACAACAGGTCTATAGTCAGTAACCAATATTCAGATACAATGTCTTCAACCACATGTGCACACACGAAAAACATGTTGGGAAAAAGCTTGTCAATGAAAAAGGAAAGAATTGAAGAAATAAATAGGCAGCTGAACAATTAAAGAAAGGTTCCACAAATCAGGCTATCAACGATCTCGAAGATCATTCTCTGCAATTCATTCAACGGGCAGCAATGCAGAAATATAAAAGGCATAAGGGTTCGGGTAGAGAAGACCACCTTTTCACGTTGTAACTTTCAATAGCAGAGATAGCCGAGAGTGTCTGAATTGAAAGAGAAAAGGAGGAGAGTTGTCAGGGAGAGAACTCGTAGAGAGATCAGGGTGTTAGAGAAGATCATTGGCAGGGAGCTGATGTTCTGAGTAGAACTCTGAGTGTGAAGATTCCAATTTCATTTGGGATCAAGTTCGAGTGCTGTAACTATAAAGAACGCTGTGCTAGTGAATCGTCAAAGGGCTCAAATCGAGTGCCTTTGGCCGTGGATTAGTCGGTTTTGCACATTGCAAACCGGATACCACGTAAAAATCTGGTGTCATTCATTCTGCTCTTTATTTTTCTCTTAATTGTGTTGTGGTACTCTGTTTTTCTGTTCTTGGTTGCAGGGCTCTGAAACTCAGCGATAACAGAGGAGGAAGAAGAGAAGCTTGCGGACAAAACGCATCGTTTGCAAACAAAACGATGTGGAGAACAGAAGAAAAACAATTGGGCCTTGTTCTTTTAATTCTCAATAACTCAGGCTTGGCATATTGCTTGTGGGCTCGAAGTAACTTTAGCCCACTGAACGAATCCAACAACAGAAACGAGAAATCAAACTCAGTGAAGGGGCTTTCGATCAATATCTCGTTTTCTTTAAGCTCAATTTCCTTCTGGTGTTCCAAACTATAACCAAACATTCCCGAAACCCTAATTGCTTTCTATCCCAGAGTTTGATTAGTGATTTGCAGAAAAGAAGAGCAGGAATCTCACGCTCGATTCACCCAACAAAACACTCTGTATTGAAAAATATCTATCGGACTTGTCTCACCAGGCCCATTAGCGGACTTGTCTTATCGGCCCGTCAACATTTATTCATTTAGCCCATTATAAAGGATCACCAACCGGCCATTTATTGCAAACTGGAAAGCCCTCTTCAGTCACATTTGGATCAAACAAAAACAAAACAAAAAAACCCCTCCCCCCTCACCCAGAAGACGTTTCAACTTCCTTCTTCCCTTTTGGCTTCCACTGCTCTGTTCACTATCCGATGAAGAAAGCAAATGCACAACAAATCCATTGCATGAACGCATTTTCAATTCCTTCTCTCTACCTGGCCGACATCAGTTCCATCTCGGCATTTACAGGAGGTACTTTCTACAACGCTACCGCGTAAAAAACCGCCGAAGACCTTTCAACTCCATTCTTCCCATCCGGCTTCCACTACTCTGTTCACTTTCCGACGAACAAACCAAATGGAGAACAAATCCATTGCATGGATGCATGTTGCTGTCCTCCTCTCTGCCTGACAGACATTGAACCCATTTCGCCATCTCCAGGAGGTAATTTCTAAAACCCTACCTTATAAAAATCTGTTCTTTCCTCTCATCAACAGCGTCGACAATTTTTTCCAGCACACTCATAAAGTACAGTCGCCCGCTATCCTTCAACTTTGCTTTCTCCCGATCTACTAAAATCTTAGCATTCAGAAAGTTTTTGAGGAAGAGACTCCCAGAAAATACTTGCGAGCTCCACCGGTGAGTTAGAATGCATGCTTTCTAATACAATGTAGTTTGCCTATTCAATTTAGAGACATGATTAATTGTTATTGCTTCGATTTTAGCATAGCATTGATCCATAGTTGAGGATATATATTTCAAAATTATTTAACTTGGATCTGATTACGTAGTGTGTGTTGTATAGAAACAAAACATTATATATTGTTTGTATAAAACGTAGTAGAGTCCAGTTGAAAAATTCCATGTAAGAATCAACAAAGAATAAGTCAAAAGAAGTAAAATATAGGTCCAATTGAAAAATCCATTAAAGGATTGAGAGAGTCATGTCTTGCTTTCCTATAGTTTGTTTATATTCTGTTTTACATGATTAGTTGATTAGTGTAAGAACTCTAACCTTTGTCGATATAGTTGCTAATATTGCTAAAAATCTAAATTATAGGTCTTTTACCATGGGAGACGATTTCGTTATGAATCTAAACTATCAAACTGCCGCAGCAATTTGGGACACCGTGGATACTATAGACCTTATCCCAATGCAAATGAATGGTGGTAATCAGGTGACTAAGATAACATGTTGTTTTATCTATCCATATCTATCTCTTATCTCAATAATTTGCATCTGATTTCGTATTATTTTCGCCTCTTTATGTTTTGGATTATTTCAGGGGAAGTCGTACATTTTGTCTGGCATTGTAACAGAGTTGAGGAGATCTTGGTCTGAGGCATCGAACATATATTTGATTCACTTGACCATTGAAGATGACTTGTCTGATGTTGAGGTCGTGTTCCCATCAGCTTACTTACGAAGAATAATGTCTTCTGTTGCCAGTCCTTCTGAGATTGAAAATGCGGAGTATGTTACACTACTGAATATGATTGGTGAGAAGGCATATAAAGTCTTGGTTACATTCGGTCCTTGGAACGACGTGGAGCATTTTTCTGATCTTTTTTTGGTTAAGTTGTTCCCGGCTTTAGATAACTAAGTAGCATTGGGTATTATTAATATGATAGGATTAATGTTAGTAATGCTCCACCTTTCTGTAGTTTCTAATGATCTATTAGCGTAATGGTTATGTGAACGCTAATATCTTTTGTAACTTTATTATCCTTTTGAGATGGTACTTGATGTAACATATGAATTTAATCTAGTTATGTTACTTTGAACAAATTACTCATAGTAGATGTGACGGGATAAGCATTGATCCAAACGTGACTAAATGGGGCTTTCCCTTGCAATCCAATATAGATATTTTTACTTTTTTAAGGATGGACTTATGGGCCTCTATTTACAGCCCAAATTCATAACAACTACATGGTCAATGGGCCGACCCTTACATTATTTTTTAAGTAACTCTTTTAAATTGGAATCAGAGGTATTTTAAGAATGGATTGCTGGGCTGGTGATCGTTGTGCTTTTATTAACCCTATGGACTTCGATGGATTTTGATTTTGGGACGGGACCAGATAAGAGACGGAACGTCTTGAGCTGGCGATTTCACCGTTAGAGCAGGCAGGCTAGAGATCCAAATCGGGGACCCTTTCCTCTTCCTCTATGATAATTAGAACCACAAAATTAAAATGTCAGAACCCTAAATCATAAGAAAGTACCAATAATGGCTCTAAGATTCACGCTAATTAGTCAGGGGCGGAGCTACAGCAGCCTTCGGGGGGGCCCCGGCCCCCCCGAGAATTTTGAAAGTCACTTGTAAAAGTTCGGTATTAGACGTATAAACTAAATGTTATGTATAAAATATCCAACGTGAAACAATACAATAAAAGTCTCTGTAGTCTAGTGGAATCTCGCCTTGCCCTCTCACCTGGTGGTCAAGGTTTCGATCCTTGTGGGAAGCAGCATATTTTTTTATCACTAGCTATTTTGGTAATCAGTTTATGTTTTATTTAGTGATCAAATGCTTTATGATTGTCAAGCTAAGAAACTAAATGTAAGTCAACCATCACTTCCTTTGCTACGTGCATGTCATTGGAGAAACTCTCCATGGGTGGTCAACTAGGGTGACTCAGCTTGTTACTAGTTTGGTCTATACCCGACCATGAGAGGAAAAATGGGGTGGAAATACATAGTTGCCTCATTACTTTCCACGTGGGTTTGCCATGGGAGTGCACTTGGATCTCTTGGGTGGTATGTAAAAGAAACAAATAATACAAACCACTAGCAAATGATTAATTACTTGAAACGACAATTATACCTTTGCTTGGCTCTCCAACGTGTGGTGAGGGAATAGAGGGCATGGTAACTTTGTGTTCTTGATCGGTAAACTATTTTTGGTTAAAGTGTTTAATTAAAAGATGTCGGTTTAATACGGGGTCTATCAAATTTTTTTGGAAGATTAGTCATTAATTTGTTAGCATTAAGTTGGAGATTATCCATTAATTTGCTTCGTTGGGCTTAATCCTTATTATAGCCCAAATCAGCCTCCAAATTTAAGGTCCACATGATTGCAATTGTGAGTTGAGCAAAGAAGAATAAAATAAGTAGTTGTGGCGGACAGATTTCATTACAAAATAGGAATGTGATAGAGAGTTTGGACCGAAATCCAGGAAGGATTGTAGGCTAGTCTAAGAGAACCTGGAGCCACCAAAAACAACAGACCCAAAAAAAAAGAAGCAAGGAAAAAAAACACCACCAAACCCCACCACCGACACCCACCATCAGATGCACAACGGTAACAGACAACACCGAAAGAGAAAGACCACATGCAAGAACAAAGGCTAGTAGTGTTTTTAGAATTGAGAGCATAAAATTCAGACATCTTAAGGAACAACCCATTTGCCGTTTAGCCAGTCCTGATGTGGCCTCAAATCAGCCTGATTGAACGTTGTCTTCTCATCATACTCTATAAAGTTAACCTCGTAATTGGAGTTGATCAAGACCTTTGCAATCACGCCAACCCACCAGCCCTCGTTGTAGTAAGCATCTACTGCATCCCACACCTTGAATCCATCCACAACAATGATCTCCGGCGGACAAGGCCTTATGTTGCAAGCAAGAATGACTTCCCTGAGAAACTCAGTATCATCATCATTCCTCAGGGTTTTGTACTCAATAAGGTACTTGTCTTCACCCGAAGGTTCAATAGTTGTTGCAGCAAACCAAGCACCTTTCAAACCGTCTTCGTCAGTTAGCACCTCGACTTGTATTCCTTGAGTGAACTTCATCATTTCCTTGGAAAAGTTTGAGTTTAGCCACATCTGCATGTTTATGAAGCGATTCAACGAGGTTCAGACATTGTGAAAAAGAACAAATGCCATCTCTGATCACCCAATTCTCTGTTAAAAGGTAATTTGCAATAAATTTACCCCAAAACACTTCACATGGTAGGCCTAATATTATTGATTGATCAATTATCAATATCTACCCCAATGTTGACGTGAAGAACAAGAGCACATGTAAGAGACATCATCAAACTAATTCAAGCAAGTTGCAGCAAGTGGATTGGAAGTTGAAGACAAAATTGATAAGGCTATATCAATGCATGAGAACATGATTGGATTTGGTATTAACTCATGCATGTGTTGTGTTGTATCGTGGAAGAGAAGATGACGATGGAAGAGGGCTCACTTGCATTGAGTATATGGGGTAATTCTATTAGTTTCTTTCTTCTTCAATTGTGTATTATATATGTATGCATGGGGTGTGTCATAGTGCAATGGGGAAGAGACATAAAAGAAAGAAAGAAGTCTCTGTATCTCTGTGTTTGTAAGCAACAAGAGCCAAAAATTCGGCTAATACCCAACATTCTCTACTTTCCTCAACCTAACTAGATCGAGATTCAAAATTCCCTAAAATTGTTATACCAAGCAACGGAGTAGGAAAAGTCATAAAATCGAATTAGCTCACCTCTTTCTCATGCTGAACCTGTTCGAATCGCGGCTCCCACTTCCCTTTAACCCACTGAACAGGCAACCTCAAATCTTTCTCTTCAAACACAATCTGCTCGTCAAAGCCTCTGAGGAACACCGCGAATTTCCCGCCGGAGTGCTACGCAATAATAGCCCCTTCCCACCAGCCGTCGCTGTAGAAGGCCTCCACTTCGTCTTCGAACTTGAACTGGACCTTCTTCTCGGGAGGCGGCGGCGGCGGACGCAATTGAACCCAATCGAGGGTTTCTTGCAGCAGCTTCTCCCCAGATTCGTCCGCGTAGAGCTGGTCGTACTCGACTACGTAACGATTGGTGTTCTTCGCCTCGCGGCGGACGACGATGCCGGCGTACCAGGAGCCGCGGAACCCTACATCGCGGGGGCGGATCTCGACCCGGTCGCCCGGATTGAATTGGGCGACCCACGAAGAAGATGGGTTCGACATCGAGGGTTTCTTGCAGAATTGCAGGTGAAGAACGGATGGAAGCGGGGTGATTTTTTTTTTTGGTAGAAAAAGTGGGGTGATTTTGAGAAAGGGAATGGGAAAAGACTGTTCGTTTTTACCCCAAAGAGAAAGGGAATGGAGGGAATGGGAAAAGACTGTTCTGCGGTTTCTCAAAAAAAAAAAACTGTTCAGGGTTCCGTGTCATCAATCAGAGAGAGAGAGAGAGAGAGAGAGAGAGAGAGGCGATGGCGGTTCCGTGTTAAAGAAAAGTTGAAGAGCAGTAGGAGTCAGGAAAGCAACTGCAGCGTTAGAGCTAACTTTATTAGGGTTGCTTGTTTGTGTAGGTCGGCGTTGGCTTCAATAATAGTAGTACTATTATTTTCTTTTATTAGTAGATGGTGTATTATCATGTCACTCCAAAGAAACATGGTCCATTTTAATGAGCCAAGCCGAACTCATTCTCGGCTCTTTTATGCACGAGCTAATACGATCCGAACACGACACAACTCATTTATTGAGTTTGGGCTCATAATTTCGAACAAAATTCTGGCTCGAGCTAGCAAACAACTCATTCCATCCTAATTAGTCATTACTAAGGGGTCGTTTGCTTAGTGGAGTTGGATAACAACAAGAAGTACACTATAGAGGTAAAAAGGCAAACATGATTTTATTAGGGTTTAGGGTTCAGAGTTTAGGGTTTAGAGTTCAGGGTTCAGGGTCTAGGGTTTAGGGTTCAGCATTCAGGGTCTAGGGTTTAGGGTCTAGGGTCTAGGGTTTAGGGTTTAGGGTTTAGGGTTCAGGGTTCAGGGTTTAGGGTTCAGGGTTTAGGGTTCAGGGTTTAGGGTTCAGGGTTTCAGGGTTCAAGGTTCAGGGTTTAGGGTTTAGGGTTTAGGGTTTAGGGTTTCAGGGTTCAGGGTTTAGGGTTTCAGGGTTCAGGGTTCAGGGTTCATGGTTAAGGGTTTAGGGTTTTAGGTTTTTAGGGTCTAGGGTTTAGGGTTTTTGCTTGTAAGTATGTCCTTCGCGTAGTACATTAGTAGGTACGTGAAGGTTTGCCGGTTACTTTTGGCTATCGATGTCAATTGAAAAGTAAACAGAAATTAATAAACCGGAAAATTGAAAAGTAGATGGTGTATTATCATGTCACTCCAAAGAAATTAGCCAACCTGAAATTTTTGTCATTGGATTGTGTATTTAGATGTATCGTATAGGCATTCGTATTTGGAGATTGCCTGTTGGTTTAAACCGAAGATGAAACCTTTGAATAACAGGTATGTACATTTGTGGCCAAAAGCAGCAACCATTGGGCCAGAAGGCCCAAATCAGCCTTCCGGCCTGTCTTTTTTAGGCCGAATTCAATTTACTTAAGCCCTGATCTTGCCTCCCTCGACAACACAGACCTCGTTCCAGATCTTCGCTGGCATCGGCGGTAAAAACTGCCCCTTTCGACCACGGTGAAAACCCTAGCGCCAAGGTATGTCACTATCTGGTCCTAAGCACGCCACTCAGTAGAAAACATCATATTCCTCTAATAAAGATTACTACGATCGCAGCGGACCAACGAACTATGGCAGTTTTCCGCCGAGACAACCCAGTCGCCTCGCTGGATTACGAGGACCCCACCGATCCCCAAGGTTCGATGTTTTGGTTTCTGTAGGTCTAAATTGGTACTGGATTCGATTGATTCGCAAAACCTTACTGGTGACTCCACTTAGTGTGTTTCTTGTCTCTATTGTAGACCCCATTTGTGCTTCGATGACGTTTCGAGGTTTGCGGTTGGGAACCAACAACGGTACTGTGATAGCTCGGCTTCTAAAGACGTGGACAGAAGTCATTGACGGAGAGGTTTGGAAAACGCCAGCATTGCGCATGCTCTGGATGGACAAAAAGGTTTGTTTACGATTTCCCAACAAAAAAAACACCAGCTGCTTATGCTTATCTAAACATTCTTTTACACCTGCTAATCCCGCAGAAACGAGTTATTGAAGCTCTGGCATATGAAAAGGACATTGATGACGTGATGGCGAGGATCAAAGTTGGTCGTCTGTATCGCCTAAGCATTATCGTTACAATCCCCTCGAGTAAGAACAAACGCATTGTCCCAGGAGAACTGCGGCTGCTCATGAACTCTGAGCAACTGATTGACAACATCGAAGAAGACCAGAACAATCCTAAGTTTCCCCTCGACTCATTCATGAACTCTCATTTCTCAATGGTCCCTGCAAAGTTTGAAAGTTTCCACTGCCACGCAGGTAAAGCAATGTACATCACTTTCACGACCAACACACACTAAAAATCCCATAACATCTATGCAATTACAGATGTCACAGGCTGCGTACGGCGAATCACAGTACCAACTGCCCTCCAAGATGGCATGCTTGATTTCCATCTGGTTATTGAAGACTACAGGTATACTAAACTATGTACCTTAGATCTTTAAAACTTTCGACAGCGAATAATTTATATTTTGTTTGCATTTGCAAAACAGTGGGAACAAGGCTGTTGTGAAGTACTGTGGCTACGATGTCGCTGGTTACCTCCAACAAGCAGCAGATGCAGAGTCGCACCTCCCGCTGATAACCACAGTTACATCGGTAGTCTCCGTGCCCGATGCATGCAACGATGATGGTATATATGAGCTGGAATCGACACAAGCCAGTCGTCTGATTATCAGTTCATACAATGAGACCACTGAAAGAGTCATGAACAGGTATTGATTTCCTAACAATCTCTAAGACAATTTGTTCACTTCAAATATGCTTTCATTGCAACAACTTAGCCTAACATAGACATCTATTTGCAAAACTCAGGTTTCTGCCATGCCGCAAACCGATCAAGTACATAATCTATGGAACAGCTGAAAGGATGGGATACTTACGCTACCCTCGCCCCCCAAGAAGAACACTTGCTCAGATAAAAGAAGACTTGAGTTCAATACCACAAAATCGTGAGGTATATTATGATGCTTTGAAAAATCCCAACATTCAAATATGTTTCACTTGCTATTGCCGTGCACTCTAACCTGGCAAAAACAATTTTTATATTTCAGACCCTCTACCGAACCATAATCAAGTTCACTCATGTCCTATGCCAAATAGATGCTTGCAGAACCACTCGGGAAACGCCAAGGTGAGATTAAATATTTAAATTGACCGGTTTGCACTTTTGGCAAGGAACGCTTGCATTATTCTCAACAAACCTAACGAGCTTCTATTATGACCAGACTACATTACCACATCGAGGCAAGGTGCAAATCTGAATCATCCGCGACCGATGTTGTACTGAACCACGAGGCAGCTCTGTCAATACTCTGCATGATGCCGGCAAAGTATCTCAAACTGAACGAAGATGAAATAAAAGACATCATCAAGAAAAACTGCAAGAAGACCTTCGCAGCAGAACTGTACATTGCATGGCCAAACCCAGGTCAGAGTACCGTGCCGCACATCAGGGTTGCCACACTTTGGGATCCTTGTGCTTTCGACGATTGAACATCAACTTCGACCAGCTACATTTTGAATCAGGAAAACTGCTACTGATTGACCGCCTTTTGCTGTTTCTACCTAAGCCCTGACATAATTGACAACACTTTTGGTCTAGCCTTTTGTCATTTAACAACTACCACCTGGCTTAATTAGGTAGTTCAGTCAAACTGTGAATCTATTGTGAATGCTTAGGACACATTTTGGGAAATACTTTTGCATATGTACCTATATTCAGTGTTATTTTTTTTTTTTGAGGGAAGTACCTATATTCAGTGTTAGACAATATTGATATGCAGATGTCCTTAATGAAATAAGTTGCAAGGGGAATAACTTAAAACCAAAAATGAAATGCTGCTGATGGGTTTCGAACCCAA